CTTGTGATAGCGACGTGCCAGTCTCGAGGAGGGGCTTGAGACGCAAGAGAAACGCAAGAAAGGAGCACACCGATCACCGAGACGATGAAACTCACGTTAAAAAGCTGATGCAGATGGTTCCGTAGTGACGGAATCCGTATGCGCGCTTGAATATGTGGAGGGATCCCCACATGGTGGCCGCTACATTGAGGTAGCAAGCCCACCGTGCATTGCTACAGGTATCACATCTCTGCCAGACTTTACATGGAAAGATATTCTTCATGACCTCAAGGCCGGCGACATCGAGCAAGTGTGCATCGTTTCAGCCACCGAAGCAGCCAGTGAAGAAGTTCTGGAGGCTCACCCGAAGAGCGCCGAGCCTAAATCAGCGCGCAAAGAACGCTTCGCGGCACATTCTTGAGATGTTATTCGTTCTTTGGGAAACCCTGTATACGATATCGCTCGTAAGTACGCCGAATATCTTTCCGGAGCAAATTTCTTCTGAGCTTCGAGCGGATCGTGAAGTGCGGCAAGAGATATATCTCGCAGGATCGAAGTATTGCGTGACATTAAAGTGGCCATTTTTGCGTGATAAAGTCATCGTTATTGATAAATTCTTTGAGGGTAGCCGTAAGGCTGGCCATGTCCGCGAGAGTATCTCGCCTCATTCGAGCCGACTTTCTGTGTGAAGAAAGCCACCGGCGGTTGGAGCATTGTGCAAGCCTTCAACAAGCTAAATGACGCCACGATCCCGGCTCAAACGCCTACCCCTCGAAATACATGGTATTGAAATCCATGTCCGGGAGCGAGATCTACAGCGCCATAGATCTGACAGACGGTTTCTATCATATCCTCATGAGGGACAGTGACATTCTGTTCACTGCGTTCAGCACCCCAAGCGGGATGCTATAGGAGTGATTAGTCATGCCACAAAGTCTTAAGAACTCTTTAGCTACGTTCAATCGGATGGTAACACAAGTACTTCGTCCACTTCGCGACTTTAGACCGAGCTACTTTGACGACATTTTGTTCACAGCCGCGCTGAGCAAAAGATCAGGACTACGGAGGTACACCTTCGACACTTGAAGCAGGTGTTTCAACGAGTTATCATTGGTCCATATTAAAACTTTAGGCCCTAATAATAAACAAATGACATTATGCCACGCTGTGCCCACTATTCGGGCACAGCACCTGCCTTGTTAATTTCTGTTTATGCTATACGCAATAAGGCCCATTACAAGACTGATACGAAATGACACGTCAATGCCGCTGTCATCCTTCTGCATGAGCGCGCTGCCGATTTCAAAATTGCTTGCATCGCAGATGACGCTAAAGGGCTCATGCGAGTCTGGCAATGCCAAGACCGGTGCCTCAACAAGAGATTGCTTCACTGATGTGAATGCATCTGCTTGCTCCTTTGCCAAGTCCATTCTGCATCCTTTTTTCCAGGTTAGACAATAGCTTGGTCTGCTCCGCAAAATTTTTGCTGTACTTATGCAAGTAAGTAGTGAGCCCAAAGAATTGCAACAGATTCTTCACGTGTCGTGAAACTGGTCATTCCTTAATAACCTTAACCTTTTCTGTGTCTGCTCGTACAGCATGTGTACCTACGATGCATCCCAGCACAGGTGTCCCGGGGACCCATATTAAGCTCTTTTGCAAGTATACGTATAAATGGGCGTCACCCAGAGTCTGCAACACAGCGTCTGAATGACGCTTGTGCGACTCTATTGCGCTCAGGTCGTCCTCCGCCCTACTATGCACGGAATACATCGTCAAAGTAATGGGGGGTGTAGGCACGGTGCTAACGCATACCACTTGGTTGAATGTTGCTGGAGCGTTTTTCAACCCTTGTGGCATCACAAGCCACTCCCACAGCATACCGCTTGGGGTGCTTACTGCCGTTTTGGCTACATCGGTATCTCTCATGAGAACCTGATAGTAGCCATCCTTTAGATCCAACGCGGAAAAGATAGTTGACTTTCCCATGGAATTCAACAAGACATCTTTCCACGAGATCGGTGTTTGAGCCGGAATGGTGGCCGTGTTCAGCTTATTACAAGCATGAACCACGCGCCATCCACCTGTTTCTTTACGCACACAAAAGTTCGGGCTGCAGTGAGGCGACTTGCTCTCACTTACATGTCCCCTCTTGGCTCGCTTGTCGAAGAACTCATCGATTTAATCGACTTGTTCCTTCGGCAACGGCCATTGCCTGGTCACACAATACTTGGTGCCAGGCTCCAGGCTCCAGGTCAATCTCGTGCCTGATGCCCCTATCGGCCGGTAGGCGGCTCGGCACTTCAGCTGGAAACACATCACGGTGTTTCCACAGAGCATCATAGAACGGGATGTCCTACAAGACATCCCAGTCTTGAGAAGCAAACCGTTTCTTCTTTTCAGTTTCCAAGATGATCTCATCCATTGTGGACGACGAGCAACAGTCTACCACGTTCTTTTCTGGAGCTACAGTAGTGCGACTATCCGTGGATCTCTATTTCCTTAAGTTCGGACAGGAACAGATCCCACGCCATGTCCGAGAGATTTACTATCTCCTCGGCAGATGCCAAAACAAGTTGGAGCACCTCAACTGAGGATTCCTCGGCATCTTTTCTTCGACGACCTCGAACAACTCGTTCGTAGTTCCGTTCTCTTCGACCGAGACTGATCCAAGGGTCACTTGTGTCGACGTGCCTTGATCGTCTTGATAAGTCTGGTGCTCATTGTTCGATTCATCATCACGACCTTTGACCTGGAAGAAGGTATTAGCCAACGCACTCCTTCCAACCGCATCAGGCTCATGGATCTGTGCCGGTTCTTATGGCGCTTGGCTTCCTGTCAGCTCACCATCAACTGCCACAGGCTCTCGGCTCTGTGCAGGACCATTGAACGCATGACTACCTGCCATCGTCCCATTCACTACACCAGTATCCTCGAGCTGGGTAGGAATATGTGTCGCCTGACTTCCTGTAAGGACACTTCCAACTACTCCAGGCTCAAGGGGCTGGGTAGTAACTGGTGTCGATTGACATACCTTCATCGCACCCTCGACTGTGTTGGCCACAGCATCAGTAACATAAGCCTCTCGCAGGAGCACATCCGTTCCGGTGTCCAGCGTAGAGTTGGCGACGCCATCAATCCATGGTTGGTACTTAGCCAACCAAGGCATGCCTAGGATAAGGTCATACGGACTCTCCATACCTAGCACTGTGAACTTCTCTTTACAAGAGAAGTCACTAAAGCTGAAGACGAACTCAACTTGAACTCCCTCCGATTTTACGAGCGCGCCGTTCGCTAAACGAGCGATCTCCTCTTCTCGCTTGCCATCCTGGCAAAGCGACTCATATCTAGCCGGACTCTTTTTCAGAGCCTCGAGTTTAAAATGCTGTGATGCACCCGAATTAACGAGAAGGGCCATCACTTGGTCATAGCCTCGAACTCGAGCGCTATAGACCAAAAGTGTTGAAGTCCGACCTTTCGGTACCTCAGGGACTATGCTACCCATTTGTTCGATCACTCTGAACATAGGGGTAGCTTCAGAGTCTGCGACAGTAGGGCATCCCGCTCCAACTGCGCTCCCACATTTTCCGGCCCATCTTGGGCAGGTGCTGAACCTGTGCGTCGTGCACGCTGGTTTTTCGCACCTCCCTTCGGGTAGGGACCCTTCTTGCTGGCTACCTCAGCACCAGCAGCAAGTTTGACATAGCAGCGAGCCATCATATGGCCGCGCTTGTAGTAGACCACATCTGCATTGCCTAACTCCATTGAAGTGGCATCCGAATTCTCAGACGTTATAATAAGCTGTCGCCGAGGCACTGTTGTAGGATTGCTCCTCAGCCATGGCAATATCAATTGCCTCCTCCATCTTCCATGGCACCTTTCTAAAGAGGGCCTGATGCGATGGGCCGTGCCGTAGTCCGTTCGTGAACGTAGGCACCTTAATGTGTTCCGGTATCGGACCAACAGCAATGGACGCCGACAGCGAACGCATCTCCTGCACATACTCTTGCAGAGATCGTTTCGACTGTCGTGCTTCAAAGAAGCGCGCCTGAAGTAATACTTCATTGTTAATCGGCTGATACATGGCGAGAATCTTCGAGTTAAAATCGCCCATGATGGAAACGCATCGTCGTTTGCCATAAGCGCAGAGTAATCCCACTCTGACGCTTTGCCACGCAAATTAGACATGTCATCTCTGATGAGCTGCGCCATACCGCATTGCTCCACGACTAAAAGCCAGTGAACAATCGTATGTGGTCAGTCCCATTAAACTTCTGGAGGGTCCATACAAATGGGCCTTGGCTGATAAGACCGGGCAGAGAGCGTCTCACCAGTTCTTTTGAGCGCCTCATTAGGTGCCTGCTCACGCAAAAGATCATTCTAAGTCTTACTGATGGACTCATCCACTGCTTGGACGCATTTCTACGCTGTACGATCACAAACGCCTCGAATTGTTCCAATTGAGCCACATGTTGCTCAGAAGGACAATGCAAGAGGTTGGCGAGGGCTTGTTTACCAAGTCCCTGCACCAAATGATCTGCCAACTCCCTATGGCGTTCGAAGAGGTGAGAATAGTTCCCAATCCATACTAAGGGACATTCGTATCCACACGCACGCTCAGAGAGACGGGTCGTGATAAGGACTACAAGTGCTACCAAATGTAGACGGGTCCTTCGAAAGAAGCTGCCAAGTACTACGCAAGCACAAACCTTTGATCAGCGTGAGGAGGCGGTTAGACTGTCTTACCTCCGCGTGCGGTGGTGGTGTTGTTGTCTACACAACCTTCTACTAGACACCTGCAGCACCTCAATTAAGGGACATCGGCGTGATAAGTGACTTCTCTTTATTTTTTGTTCGACAAATTGGCGGGAGAGATTTAAATAGCTATACCCATCTTTCGCTCTCCTAAGACGATAGATAATCAAAAATCGTTTAAAAGGGATTACTTTCGATTCAATCGGTAGAAGCGCATTTCCTCACATTGGAATCATCGCTCCCGGTCGAAACGCTCGCCTGTCGCCATGAACCCCAGCAGTAACTTGTTCCAGAACCCTTCTTCTCTTCGTGTAGAGTCCCCAGCCATATCAGGCGTAAATTTCATGGCTTCGCCTTCAGTTTCTCCGGTGGGCGGTACACCATCTTCGTACGAGGCCGTGCCTGCTTCTGCTTTTGATGCTGAGACAGGTCCGCTACGCCCGAACCTCATGAACGAAATCCGCAACCAGATCAAAGCTACAAACAGACAGACAATCGTCAAGGTCATGCGTCTGCTAAATCTGGTACTGGCCTCCACCACTGTCACGGTGGGCGTGCTAGCGTGGCTGTTCGGTCAAGTGGACACGTTTCAGAAATTTATTGCAGGGATTTACATTATGTACGAGAGGGAAAGAAATAGCAGGAACTGTGAAGAGAGAACTGACAAAAATCAATTGGTACTGTTGCTGTCTGCAGAATATTTGGCGCGTTACTGCTGGCATTTGAGATGCGTACCGAAAAGATTGACGTGGTCTTGCGCAAAAACTTTGGCTTCATGTATGGCAACAAGACGCGCACCGTGTTCTTGGTCTTGTAAGTTAAAATTTGTGGAGTGTTGACTACAGTAAGTGTTTTTTTGCTTAATAGTGTTAATGTCCCTAATATGTCGTTGCAGTATCGCGATCTGGCCGCTTTCAATGGGTAACTTTTGGCTGACAATTCTGGACGCCGTGCTGCTGTTCCTCAACGCTTTTTTCAACTACTTTGTCATCTCGCAGCACCCAGCTTTTTCTACGGTGCCGCCGGTGTACAACTCAAACCAACCCTAGCAGCCTACTGGTCCTTCGCTCTCACCCACTTACATGAACGTGTAAGAAAGAAGACAACGATATGTGGTCCCCTTCGCAGTTGTCAAGTTTTAAATTTCCAATCGATTTCTCGATTCTTCATTGTAGCCATCTCGTCGTATAATGGCTACACTATATTTTACAACGTCACGAATATACTCCAACCACTTAACTATAACCATACGCGAGTGGAGGGATGTCATCGTCTGCTGCCTCTGGACGTAGCAAATTAGAGCGTAAGAAAGCTCGACTTAATCGGCGCAAGATTGCAGCAGCAGTAGAACGTGATAAAGTGGCTCGAGAAGCAGAGGCAGCACGTGTAGCAGCCATCAGTCGTAGTCGCCTGCGTCGTCTACCACCTTGGCTGCCCACGCTTCCATCCACCAATAGCCTTGACGCTGCAGTTTTACGAGACCTCAATGACGTCTCAAGACCAATAACTCTTCGTGTAGGTGAGGAAATGCTGCGATATTGTGCTTACACACAGAAAGTCGTGGACGCCGCACGTCAACACATTGACGCAGCCATTGCACACATCTCTGAAGGGGTTCGCAAGATCTGGCCACACGCGTCGGTCGTGTGCTTTGGCTCGTACTCTACGGGTCTGTGGCTACCTTCCAGTGACGTGGATGTGGTAGTTATGGGGTTGTCCAATGCTGAGGACCAGGACGTACCAACACGTTTTGTACCTGATGGAGTGAAAGAGCTTGAAAAATTAGCGAGACAACTTCGACCTCAAAAAAGTTGGGTACAACGTGTTGATGTCGTACGAGGAGCTAAAGTTCCTGTGGCAAAATTGAGTTTACGACGTGGTAGTCAGAAGGAAGGAGAGAACTCGGTGTTGTTACGGGTGGATATTTCGATTGAGAATGTGCAAACTTGTAATGGAATGGAAGCGAGCAAGTTGGTACGACAGTATGTGAACGATCTGCCCAGGCTGAAACCTTTGCTGATGATATTGAGACAGATATTGAGGGAGAAAGCGTTGAACAGCGCGTATACTGGAGGATTGAGCTCGTATGCTGTTACGTTGCTGGCAGTGTTTATGATGGAGATCCAGAGGCATCAGGAACCGGAGAGTGACAGTGAGAATGAATGTAAGGAAAATGGAAGGAGAGAGAAAGATGCGTCTGAAAAACGCGAAGCAAGGAAACTCGGCCAATTGCTGCTCGATTTTTTGGATTATTACGGAACCTCATTTGATTATTTCACGACAGGACTCTCACTCAAGCCCGAAGCATTTGGCGCGTATCCGCTTGCAGCACACTTGTCGATTACCAATGGCATGCCACTCATGCCGCAACTTGTTATTGACGACCCAGTGTATAAAAATGGGCAGCACAACGCTGCTGCGGGTACATTTGCTCTTGCTCGTGTAGTGGCGGCATTAGAGAATGGGTATTTCGCGTTGTGGTATCACCGACCGACTCAATTTGCTCCGACTCCATTGTGCCAATTGCTGCACTGGTCCGGCCACCATGTAAGTTATCCCTTCTGTCACGGTGTCGACGACCAAGTAGGAAATGTGAGAAGCGGCTGATAGCGTCACATATGACGAACGAGGCAATGTTGCTGCAACAGCCATAGATGGCAAAAATTACGGCAGAAATGACGGCTGCAGTAGCAGTAGAAGACAAGCAAATAGAAGGTAGAGATCGCAAAGTCTGTTTATAGGAAGAGACATCGTGCTTTGATAAATAAAGCACGAGACTGCGCACGTTACGTGAGTATACAATGTTGCTCTAACTACTGATCTCCTCGGCAGCGGTAACAGCACTCTGCTCCTCTAGAAGCTGCTGCTGGCGCTCAATTTCGTCGTAATCGATGTTGGCCAGGACGTAGATGATCAAAAGTGAGACGACCGTCATCTTGCAGAGCTGGCGCACGTCCTTGAAAGTCAATGCTCGCATCGACGCGATAAAAATCTTCGGCGCAAACATCAGAAGACAGATCTGATCCCAAGCAAAAGCACCCAGTACCTCAAGGGTAAGCAGTCCAGTAAGGATACGCGTGAAGCGCGGGTCAGGCATGGGCACAATCTGCAACACTTTGTTGAGCATAGGCATTCGCTCCGTGCACAATAGAAAGACGCCGACGATACTGATACCGAGTGAGTACAGGAGACCCGGGTTCTCCGTCATGGGCTTCATAAATGGTCGGCCCTTGTAGTTCACAGCACACACGCTCACCGTCTGCACGCCATTGATAAGGAATATGACCGTGCTCATAACGCTGGGCTTAAATTCACCAGGCTCCGAATGCGTAATATCGCCTTCGGGCGTATACTCCTTGGCAAGGTTTGTAAGGTAGATCATGCAACCAAGGTGAAGAGCAAACTGGCCAGCAAGACTTGAGAAAAGCGCTGGGTGGAAAATAGATGTCAGCGGCCGAACAGGCGACAACTTATCCAGCGGGGTCGCGCGACTTAACGTAATGCTGGCCACAGTCGATATCATGCCCAGCGCCATCATCTGTGAATTGGCCCACTTGACCTTGTCCAGATACAGCACGGACAGTGAGTACGAGCTGATAAGGCAGTTGATAGCCAGAATCTGGTACATTTGCATCGTTGTCACAAGTGCACAACGGCCTTGGCGAATAATGTCGACGCAGCCCTTAATAGATGGAGCGCGAGACGTGAAAGGAGAAGCAATCGATGCGTCACCAAGCTTTACCATCGGCAACTCACCATCGTCAAAGTCGTCCATATACTGCGCCATGGCAGCGTTGTTGGCGAAATTTGCAAATCCTTTGGAGCCTGTACGCTCCATTTGCAGCTTCTTCTTTTCTTCCGCTTCGCGCTTGGCAAATGCCGCAATAGCCTTCATCCGTGCAAATGACTCTCCACGAGCCTGGCGTGCGCGGACGTCAGCCTCCAATTCTTCCTGCTTTCTTCTCATCTCAGCCATCTGCTCCTCCTTACTAAGAACCTTCAGCTTTGGATTTTTCTTCACCAAAGCTTGTTGTTTCTTCTTAATTACCTCCATAGACTTTTTCTTCTGCTCGCTAATAATGAGCTCAACATAGTCCTGCTTTCCCTTACATTGCGACGTGTTCACTTTTTGTTGCATCAGACGCTTCTTTAGCACTGACACATGCAGCTTCATCAGGTCATCGCGGGTGCTCACGGTAGCCTCGTTACCTTTCTGGTACTTAGCCAGACCAGTCACACTCTTGTCGGCATTCGCTGATCCGAATCCCCCTAGCAGTGCCACACCAATATGCGCCTGTTTTAAGGCACCGACGTCATTACCACCGTCACCGCACATAAGTGTATGGTGGCCGTGCGTTTTCAGCAAAGTAAGCACTTTCTCCTTCAGTTCTGGCGTCATTCGAGCATAAACGCGGATGTGGTTCAGGTTCTTCCAGATCATACCGTCTACTTCACCAGCTGCAACAAGTGTCCTACCATTTATGCACAGATCATACTTCTTCACCAAGATCGTAATGTCGCCACTATTGTACGACGCCAAAACCGAGTCATCATCAGCGCTTATCCACTGAAGCGGGTCGCTAGGTGACGAGTTCTCGCTCAAAATTAGAGCCGGGCGAGTAATAATACCCACCTCCTTTGACACATGAACAGCCGTCAACGTAGCATCACCAGTGATCATCGAAACCTCGTGCGAACTGTCCTTTAGCACCGTCAGAATGTCACCGCTGTCCTTACGGACCAGGCACTGAAATACAGCAAAACCCGCAAAGCTTAAATCACTTTCGGCCCAAGAGCGAGGATGCTGAGCGACCTCAGCCTCAGATGGACGCCCACTAAGATCCTTGTATGCAAGAGCAAGCACACGCATTCCTCGGCGAGCAAGACTGCGGTAAGTCGGCCAGTACCATTCCGGTATTGAATCAAGGCGCATCAACGTCGCAACTGCCTCGGGGCTTCCTTTCACAAGTGAACGCACACGCATACCCTTGTCGCCCAAATGCACCTTCGCAACAACACTCATTCGCTGCAACTTCGACGCAAAGTGGTTGCGGTGCATTATTTGTACAAAAACTTCCTTCTGATTAATGCCCTGGCCCCAGCGACGTTCGCTCGCACGCTCAAGATCCCTTTTTACCTGACATTGGCGAGTTGCTGCATCGTACGTAAAATCGATGGCACGGATCGAGGCCTCTTCCACCGGATCACCAACCATCTTGCCGTCAATCTGAACTAATGACTGGCAGCCAGCAAGCACCAATGTAGCGTCCAAGTTAGCCGCAATCATCGGCACATGACCAAGTACCTTATCAGTTGGGGTAGCAGAAGTAGGCGTCGTCGTGTCTTTACAAACCACACCAACTGCAGTAAGTTGGTCCGTTGTAAGGGTACCTGTTTTATCAAATAAACAAATGTTTACCTTGCCAGCCAGCGAGATTCGAAAAGGCTCGGTACAAAAAATTGACAGCTTCACCAAGTTCAGTAGAGCCGAGTTTACCGCCATTGCCGTCTGCATAGGAAGTTCAGCCGGAATTACGCTGGTGATAATAAGCACACAACGCAGCAGCAGCTCAAACGTGATTTTTCCCTTCTGCGCAATACCGTGGCGAAGGACATACCCCGACGAGATCAAGGCAAAAATCAAAAGTAAGAACGCGAGGCCGTAGGCGTCCCACGAGCTACCCGTCACCTTGCCACTAGAGAACTCAATCATGCGCACCAGCTTGCCCTGCGACGAACTAAACCCCGTACGCAACACATATGCCGTGCAGCCACCGTCTGGTGCGTACGGGATCCTCTGATTCGAAACGCCAGGCTGTCCATCGCTAAACGTATCCGCTTGCATCACAGTAGTTCCACCGAAAAGCACGTGCACCTTGTCAGCCGATTTCATGTCAAGCTGCTTCGCGAGGTCCTCAGAGCTCATCTTTGTGCCAATAGCTTCTTTCATCTGTGGCACGCTCTCACCCGTCAAGGTGGCTTCGTTAAGTACAGCCAATCCATCCAATAGCAAGCAGTCGCAGGGCACCATGTTGGCATGGTCACCATCAGTCTCACGCTTTACTGAGATGACGTCACCCGGAACCAGCAGATCCGAGCTCAACTTTCTCCAAGTCTTTGTACGGTATGCGTACACCTCGCGAGCCTTATTGCCCATGCCGCAAAGCGTCTGCAGGTTCTTGAGACGACTCATCACTGTTACACCTTCAAACATAAGAATCATACCCAACGTGAACAGCGAGTACTGCCAGTACTCGTCCAGCATGTAGAGACAAACGCTAAAGATCTGAAACACTGTGAGCGGTTCCAGTAGCTGTTGTTTAAACATATCCACAAACTTTGGCTGCGGGATGCTGAACTCATTCTTCCCATGCAAGTCTAGCTGTGCTTCAATCTCATGTTCCGAGTTGAAACCACGCCAATCAAGATAAAACTTTACCGTCTCAGTGGTTGGAGCCTTCAATTTGCAGAAAAGAGCAGCACCTTTGTCCCCCGCATCTTCTTCAGCAATATATTTATGTTTTTGAAAGAAAAAGTATGGACGTCCAGCTGATGTACCATCCTCGTGCTTGGGACGCACAATCTCAATAATACTGCTCTTGCCCTTGAAAGAGCGTGGCACGACCATCACGAATGTCGCTTGATCCAGAGAAGACACCGGTGTGTACTTGATAAAAGCTTTTACACGCACAGACCAGATCTGAAACAGTAGCATGAGACCATGGGTCATGACCGTACCCAGAAGGCACAGCAAAGGTACAATAGCAGGCAAGAAAGGGTTTGGTAATGGTACAACTCCCATGCCCTGATCCAGCATAGTTGTATGATTGATTGTGGGCTGAGTCACAGTCTCACGTACGGACCCCTTGGACAGCATAGCAGCAGCGAGACCCCCGTCGTCCCCCGAAATAGCAACATCCCCCGAACCAAAGCCTGATGCTTCCATCTCGTTTATAGCTTGAGCATAAGGCTCACCAATAGTCAAGAAACAATAGTAGAGCGAGTATGCGTAGAAGAAGAGAAAGGGAATGTGTTCAAATCCGTAGCCCAAGTTTAATAAATTCACACGACGTCTGTAAAGAAAAAGTTGGAGGATAGATTTGCCCGTCCACTGTACAGGCGCGTCTGATTTTCCCATTGTTTCTTCTCCAAGATAAACGAGATTTTAACGGACGTCGCGCTCTACCAAGCACTTGACGAATGCGGAAATGCCGCGTATCTGACATGAAATTACGTGACCCACATTTCATTTATGTTGCACACACGAGGTTGTAAACACGCACCTTTTTTCAGCCAATCCAAAACTTGAACCACTTTCAAGAGGTAAATTACTACTAAGGGGCGCTAGTATCACTATATTCGGCAGATTTTGCAGTCTGTGCCTACTCAAATGCTATACGAACTACCTCGGCGTCGCTGCAGTCGTGTCAGTACTTTTTGACGCCGTGTCTGAATGATGATTTGCGACTAATGCAGCATCAATTGCTTGCGTCTAGATAACATGTTAATTTTGGATGTGATGATGCGCTAGTCGTACGAGCATGATCTCAATTTACCTCGCCGATGCGATGGTGCTAGAGAAGTTCATGTAGTAAAGTCGACCGTTTAAAAAACTTTGATCACTAATACATTAACTGAAATCGCCAACTTTGGGATGTTGCTAAGGATGAGAGAGCAAAGCCTGCATTGATAAAATGAATCTCGCTGCTAATTGCTGAGGGTTGTATGTATACCAACAAATAATGGTAAAGAGGTTCTCAACCTTCTAGCATTCGTCGTCTTGATATTCAGGACGTTATACGTCAAGACGATGTTGATCACTACAAAGCGTTATGTGACTCTAAGCAAGCTGATCAAAGTAGCAGATATAAAAAGGGGATTGCAAACCAATGTACTTTCATACCGCGTATGTAAATTTGATTGTGATGAGGTGTTTCTCGTTTGCTAGATGCCTAATCTGAGCTCAGCCGATGTCAGACTCTGCCACAGTTGAGACCAGCCAGTCTACCTGAACGTTTCAACAGTACGGATTTGCTAACTACAGAATATATGATTGTCAAAGGCAAACCTTTTGTGAAGACCGAAAGGAAGAATCAGCAGGATAAATATACTAATACAATAAACACGACGCATACTGACGGAGACTGCTGGTGTTCGCTAAATGGTGCGGGCATGCAATCCATACGTCGTTCAGACCTTTAACCCGTGAAAACTCCACACCTCGACCGTCTCGCACTGGAAATCTTCATAGTCGACAAGCGGTGGGGAGTCAAACGTAGTGCAGACATGCGTAAATCCGCGTCTGTCATCCAGCTGCAGACACAGTGCAATGCCCTTTCTGCCTCCGCCCACAAATATAGAGTCGCGCTGCGTGTACATAAAGGAACTGTCGATCCCTGACCATGTGTATGCTTCCATACGTGGGCTCAACGAGAAAACAAATGTCCGTCCGTTGCCAAAAATCGTTTTCGAGCGCTTCCACGACGTTGAGCAAAAAGCTCCAAAGATGTGTTCGTGCTCATCCTGTACAACAACGATTGTTGGCCCCTTGTTTTCAAGTCTTGAGAAGAAGCTCAGGAAGTTCCAACCATGGACCTGAGTGGTAAATGCCAGCTCCATTTGGTTGCAAGTGAGATAGTTTGGCAGGTTCTTCCAAAGGAACTGCATGTGTTTCTCCGTCAGGAAAGAGGACTGGTGGCCAGCTATAGGTCTTCCTACTGTAGAGTTTTCGTCACCAGCCCACAACTTGAATTGATCCAAGGCTCCAATTTTCGCTGCAAAGGCTCTGAAATCTCTCACCCGTCTTTCGTTCTTGTTGCCAGAGGCAGATACTTTCTTAGGCGAGAAAATTCCCGTGGGTTCCGGCTCAACAAAGCTTTGAGAGACAAGTGCTCCAGGTTGACTGACTTTCTTAGCGGATCTTACCTCTGCTTTCTTTTTGTATTCGGCCGACGGCGGAAACATAGCACTCGCGGTGGACCGTGACGAAAGTTCTTTTTTCGTCGTTAAAGACCGTGCCAAATACTTGCGGTATGCCACTGGTCGGCGGAACCGCAGTGTGATTGGGGCTTGTAACTCAGCAATGGTGTCGATGACATCATCAGCTGTTAGACGTAAGATCGATGAATAGCCATTGACAGCCATGACCACATCACCCACTTGTACAATTGGTGCGTTCTGCTTGGGGTCGTACACTTCCACCGATCCGTAAAGCCTTGTTGACGGTGCGAGTGCCAAGTGCAATGGAGTTTCATTAAATGTAACGTCAAACTCTCCTAGCTCCGACAGCTTGCGTCCAGCTACTTCCTTCCCATCTTCATCCACACCACTCACTACCACGGCACTGTCAAGCTCCCGTTGTTCCAAGGCTCCTGCTATCCCAGCAGAGGCAGCTGTATGACAATCTGTCCTCACCAAAGCTTCAGCTAGTTTCCGTAATGTCTCTCTCTTCGACATCTTTGCATTGAAAGCCAAGTCGTGGTCTAAGGAACGTCGCCATTGCGTGGAGGACGCTCTGGCCACCACTTTTGTTGGAAAATAATGATGGTAGTCAATCGAGGCCGGATACATGGCCGTCGACATAGCTTGCGAATCTAATGACCCGTAGACTTCCGGATTCCGTAACGTCATGACAATGGGACATGAGCATTTACGTAAATACGCGGCAAGTTTTGCACGCGGCAGCTGTGCCTTGTGGCGATCAAAGTTAACAGCGATCAGCACGTCACCTCTGCTAATTGTCGGTTTGTCACGTTGTTCTCCGTCCTTACTTTTGGACAATAGTGGGTCACCCTCTTCCGTCTCCTTCACGGAACTCACTTCCCACGATCCGTAGAGCTGTGAACTGGGCACGAGCCCAACGCCTAAAGGTTTGCGATAAAAGCATACATTGTATTCGCCTTCAAAGCGTTTGGGAACGTACGAGGATTCACTCTTCGCGTCGTTCACGCAGCTACGACGTCTATCATCGTTGCGCAATGTCTTGCGGGAAGGGGATGACGGTATCGATGATGACGGACGCTGTTCCTGAAAGATGGCGCGAACGAGGCCACGTGCAGTTAACATGGTGCTTATGTATATGAACAGGATTATTTACGTCGTTATATGAACACAAATAAGCAAAACTTTTGATCGTCGCGTCTCAATTGAGCTATTCGCTGAAGGAATGACGACATGCTGTCATTCCAGGATTCAGCCAAAACATGGGCTGAAAAGGCTTTTTTCTGATTATGGCTACACACGACCTCTGCTATAACGCAAGGTGTGCTCATTCAGTCTTATGTGCTAATAGAACGCCTACGTTTGCGGCTGCATAATAAATACAAGAAAATTTGTTGTCCACTATAAAACGTGCTTCCCCAACAGGTATGTGAGTTTCAGTTTTAGAGCCAAAAATTGGTCATATTTCTCATACTCACATTCAAATAACAACCATAAATTATTCCAGACGTTTTATATTGAAGCACCTTCATGGTAGCCTCATTGATCACCGTGCGTGTGGCTTGTCTAGCTTTCCCTCGTATCGATGCACTTCCTCACATCCAGGACCTGGTGTCTCTGTATCTGGACGCATCTTTGCAATGGTCGCTTCCTGATGCCGCCAGTCGGGGTTTCGTCCATCTCGTCCAGCGTCTGCTGACTTTTAAACCGACTAATAACCTCAAGACACTAGCAGAAATCCGTTCTGCAATGCGAAACGCAGCAGCAAGTAATTATCTCAATGTAATGGAGATATTGTATAGTCGATATGCAAATGCTGTAATTGACGAGACGGTGGTAACGCAGGCTGCTTCCAATGGACATGTGGAAATTCTGCAGTGGATTTATCCTAGACTAGCGGACATGCTGCCTTGTTACAAGCAGTACAATTTCTATACAATGAAAAGTATGGCTTTAGCTGCTGAAAAGGGGCATTTAGCAGTGGTGCAGTGGATGTTTGAAACTCGAGGAAGGGATAACGAGGATGACCAGACGGAGAAGCACTTGCATCAAGCTGCGGCAAGAGGTGGACACTTGCATGTTGTCAAGTGGCTACGTACACATTTGACAGAGGCAATTAATCCTCGAGTACTGGATGAAGCAGCAGCTGGAGGATTTTCAGAGATTGTGACGTTTCTGCATGCCGAATGGAATGAGGCTAAACTTGAGTTTAATCGCAACAGTTGTCACGCTTCGGCGAGGGCGATGAACCAAGCAGCTAGTAATGGACACTTGGAAATGGTGAAGTGGCTGCATGAGTATAGGAAAGAGGGATGTTCTGTGGAAGCGATGAATCGGGCTGCCTGGAATGGACATTTAGATGTTGTGCGCTGGTTACACGGTCATCGTACGGAAGGATGCACACAGCAAGCGATGAATATGGCTGCTAAGGGAGGTCATTTAGAGGTAGTGCAGTTCCTTCATGAACATCGGAGTGAAGGTTGTACGTACAACGCGATGGACTGGGCAGCACAGGAGAATCACCTTGAAATCGTTCAGTGGCTACAGGATAATCGCGCGGAAGGATGCTCACGACTGACTTTGAACGAAGTCGCAAAGCTTGGACACTTCAGAATTCTTCATTGGTTGCATGAAAATCGGACGGAAGGCTGTACCGTTGCCGCCATGAATGCTGCCGCAACGTACGGACAACTCAAAGTTGTGCAGTTTTTGCATTTCAATCGCTCCGAGGGGTGCACTACTGCCGCAATGGATGGCGCGGCTGCGAACAATCACCTAGAAATTGTCCAGTGGCTACATAAATACCGTAGCGACGGTTGCTCAAGAAGTGCAATGGACGATGCTGCTCGGAATGGACACCTCGAAATGGTACGGTGGCTAGACAGTCAGCGAACTGAGGGATGTTCGACAAGTGCAATGGATGGAGCAGCTGAATGCGGCCACTTGGATATTGTTCAATTTCTTCATACACAAAGGACGGAGGGATGCACAATTCGTGCAATGAATGGGGCAGCTCGAAGCGGGCACTTAGCCATTGTGCAATGGTTACATGAAAATCGTCAGGAAGGCTGCACCGCGGACGCTATGGATGACGCCGCTAAGAACGGACACCTGCAAGTCATGCATTTTTTGCATGCAAATCGCCAAGAAGGCTGCACAGTACGCGCATTGAATGTGGCGTCCACTAGAGGTGATTTTGTAATGTTGGAATGGCTCCGCTCAAATTTTTACCTCAATATGAAGGAATGGCCAATTCACGCAGGATTGAACGCAATTACGCACGACCGTATTGAGATACTACAGTGGTTACTTAAGCACTTCAGTGCATCCGCAGTGTTGGACGTGAGAATCTTTTATAATGCCGCACACTATCACAACCGATCGCACATATTGGCATATCTCGATGGCCACTGGACAATAGACAATGAAAACTTGTGCGAAGCTTACAAATCCCATTGGAAGTCTTTGCTTTGATACCGAAGGTTAATTAATGACTGTACGCCTTGCCTTCCTGTTTTACGCGCGGATACTATACTCCCTGTGCTAACCATTTAACTAAATGTCAAGCTCAAGCCATTTCAAGCCTCAGCCCCTCATTGCGAGCATTCCTCTTTGGCGGGAACCCTATTCGAAGTGGGCGGGATCATGCTTGGGCACAGCCACCGGTCGTGCGGACAGCTGAGCAGCGAAAGATACTTCAGCTGGCGGCGTCCCCGCGCCACGCAAACACCGCTTCGACGGTCGCAAGTCAATTTGACGACGGACCGCTCGTTGCAAACGGTCGTTAAGGGGGGGGACTATCTACTCATAGCAGAGAAGATGGTTCCGAGACACCATTGTTAAGCAACAGCCGGAACGGCACAGCCATCGTAGACGAAAGAATAGCTTTAGACTTTTTAGAAATTTTGTAAACCATAAGACCAAGGTATTGTTATCGTAAGAAAGTTCAGATCAACTGAGATTTTTCGACATGCAGACTCGAAATTTCTAAGTATAGTTAATTTATTTATTACTACTAAAGGGGGGCGTTAAATATACCACACTCTTTCGTTAATTAGCCCCCACTCCCAAATTTTTTGTAAAAATCTAACTGGTCAGAATGTCAAATGGGAACATCTCATTTTGAGCTTACAAAAAGTACTTTATACGTCACAATTGTTACTATTCTCCTATTCAAATATATTTTACAAATATCACTCCTGATTATAATTCAGATTCGTTTTCCCAAGGCTATTTCATAATTCATGATTCAGATTCATAATCTAGATTCATGATTCATGAATCAAATATACAGCTCGTCAAACTGAATTCTCATTGGTCGACCCGGTCCCTCATTGGTCGACCCGGTCCCTCATCGGTAGACTGGGTCCCGGCGATCGACCTCGGCCCTTCGGGGTTCAGCCACTCCGGACCAATTAATACAAGGATCAGACTAGTCGACGCAAGGAATCAGAGCTTCAGGCAAGGATAGACTAAAGGTGTTAAAAGGATAGGACTATATTTAATACTACTCAATTTGCGATCTACGTGGCACGACTCCGTCACCCAAGAAGGACTTGTTCTAAGCTACCATCTGTTCCGGGAAGGGATATATTTTGGCCCCCCCATTAGAGACAGTTGTGAAGTTAAGCTCAAGTGCGAATAGAGCTCCAGGATATATTTGGCCTGTGAGCTCGTTCGAGTAGTAACACCCCCAAGACCCGCTATCGGAAGCGGTCTCCCTCACCTCAAGGTCCGGGAGCAACGTAAAGGTCAGGTGGTTAATACCCCTGAAACAAGAAGGAAAAGGCCAGGGACGACAAGCTCACTGAAGAATTTGGCTTTAAGTCCACTCTCGACAAGGTCGATCGAGTGGCCACCTACCGGCCCACCGAATGAAGCATATGCACTCGAGCCCCCCCAGGTCTACCTCCCTCAAGGCAGGACGTCTACATCTTCACCAAGTCTTCCGAAGAGTGCAACCCGCCAGCCGACGGGTACACAAGGTGAGAAGAAGGTTCATAAGCGGCATCGGGGTACCCCCTCCGACAGTCGGCATTCCGGCACAGTGAGTGGTTTGGGGTCTCATCATACAGTTTTGAGAACCCACTCCACCACAATGGTGCGCGTGCCCGGATCTTAGGAAGACGCGGGATTTCACCGCGAGTTCTAAGACGATAAAGATGTTCAAGTCAAGAAGGAGCACAAGACCGAAGAGTCACTGGAAGACCGATCGCCAGTGACTCAAGAAGAAACAAACAAAGGATCGAAGGACCGACCGGGCCTTGGGAGGGGCCCGGTCAACATGGTCGAGGTTAAATTTATTGAATAAAAACCTAAATACCCTCCCTATGTCCTCGTTGAGGACACCTTGGGTCATGATGCCTATCATGATCCAGAGGACCATCAGCCGACGGTGAAAACCGAGAGGCTAAGGTCCCCAAATAAACAACAAAACAAGATCGCGCAATCCAAGCCGACGAAGTTCCGGATGAAGGCACCCGGAAACACCAAGTCGATAGGCCCCGAGAAGGAAGGACTGGCGTCATGGACAGACGCTGACGTCACGAGGGCCTACCACCAACGCAAGCTGAACGCGTTCCTGGAGAGCGACCCCGTCGCGAAGACCCTGTAGATCCGGCAGCTGGGTCAACTCACTGGGCCGGTGTCGACCCTTCCACGGCTGCACTCCGTCACGGACGCGATCACAGCGCTGGTCACCATGCTTCGTGAAGCGAACATGGTCGCAGGTCGGTTCTACCCGGACGACCTGCTATCCCTGGGATTCGATAGAATCACAACAACGTTAGAGCATATGCACAAGCGTCTGTCGATCCTGGTGGGTACCACGCCAGAAAAGGGACACCTACCTCTGACGACACCCACAAAAACACGGTCCAGAGACATCCAGATGACGCTTCAAGACATCGCGGTCTACCCTCACATGTATGGAGCCGCTGGCCGCCCAGGGGCGAAGCAAGACCCATCCTAACACCTGACGTCAAGCGGCCTGATGGCAGCATCTCCGTGGTCCCCAGGATCGTCCTCAACTGGATCGGTCACTAGGATGCCCCTGAGACAAACTAGGGCGGCGCTGCTCCAGTCCTGAGCGCGCAACGCGAAGCAAGAACCACGAGTTCTTGAAACGGCGACGCGTGGCAAGAATGAAAATAATTCGGATTTTCAACCAATGGAAAATCAGCAAGAGAAAAAGTTGGAATTTGCTCTGCCCCGTGACGAAGATGCTGGGGGGAAGGGCCTACATACCCGGTAGGTGATCTGCAGACCCTCTTCGACGCGGCAATGGCAAACTTTTTGAATAAACGCCAAGTACCGCGGGCACACCCTAACGGGAGTGTAGCAGGAGGGAGACCGGAGGCGCAAAGGACGACCGCTCACCATGACGAGAACCCAGGCATACAAATTCCAAGAGGTCACACGATGACCGACGTCGACATGGGATCCGTCGGTTCCTGTGAGTTCGACCCTGACAACATGGATTTGAGGGGACCTCAGTCGATGATGGCGAACGCAGCGCTGGGACAGATACCAAATATGGTCCCTCGCATCAAACTATCGGCGACCTCGGACCTTAAAGAATTTCATGGAAGAGACCAAGACGAAGACAGAGCGCGCAGCTGGGTATCGACGGTCAAGACAGCATTTATAAGAGACCAAGAACGATGTCTCGTTTTTGGAGGGTTGCTGACTGGACCGGCCGGCACAAGATTGGTACCGTCAACTGGGTCGCTCAGTCCGAGGAAACTGGAAGAACCTAATGCAAGAATTCATGATGGTACGGGGGTACCTAGTACTACCATGCGAAGAAAAGGTCGGAAGAGACCCCGCTGGATTATCTGTACCGCCTGAATGTGCTTGGACTCAGGGCGAAGATGAAGACTAAGGATGGGTCGCCCAAGATTCAGAAGGATCACGTCGATCACTACATTTTGACGGTGGACGACCCCGAGCTAGCGAACAAGTTTTGACTATGTTACGTCTGGCGGATGTAGAAGAATTGGAGGAAGTATTGACAGCATGTCAGCGGACGAAAGCAAGACGAGGTAAGATGTTGTTTGGATCAAACAAGTTTTGTCAGAAGGCACCTGCGCTACCAGACAGGCCGAGAGATATGAATCGTCGCTCCATACATGCAGTACGGACGCCCCTGGAAGACTCGAGCTCTGAAGATTCCAGCCCAGACTCTTCGGAGAACGAAGGAGATTTAAGCCGTGTCTACCTTATCGAGAAAGAAGCAGGGAGGGACCCAAGTGTGAGGTTCTCAAAGCATCTACTGACCAGGGAGGCTGACCAACATCACCAGGCAGTGGACCAGCGACCCGGCCCGTCGTCAGCGGTCCCAAATACGAGATGTGCTTATTGCAGGTCTAAGAAACATGGAGATCTGAATTGTTGGAAAAGATTGACCTGCGACCGCTGTGGAAGGAAGGGTCACCCGTCTGATCGCTGTCTGTTTGTATGCCGGGGTTGTGGAGAGATTCACGAGATTGGGAAGTGCCAGATGGAGGAGTTCTACAATTTGTTCCGTCAATGGTACAACCCAGCCAAGCATGCAGGGATGTTCCCGGAGAAACTCGAGAAGATGGCAAATTAGGACGCTCGCCAGGTTGGAATCTGGTACGAGCCGAGCGTTCTAATTGTTGCATCTTTGCATATGTGGAGAACAGCCCAAGGAGGAGACGTATATTCCAGTTAAGAATGGAAATATATCGAAGATTGGAAATTACCCTGTGGTCCATGTTGCTTCTTTGAATAAACCTAACAATTTTGTTCGAGAAAGTTCAGTAATGTAGTTGTACTTATTGCCAGGCGAGTCTAGGGGGTACTGGAAATACCACGCCCCTACTAAATGGTTCAAGCAAGCGAAAGCCTCTGGAAAGGTCAACAACGACCATGCAAATTTATTGTTCGATACAGGTGCCGAGATATCCATTCTGGTATCGCCTTTGCTCGTAAGGTAGGTTACCAAATTGATGAAAGTGAACGACAAGAATGCATTGGCATTGGGGAATCCGTATATACTACGGAGGGACGCACTCGCATCAAGGTCACTCTGAATGGGAACTTGGTGTACATCTTTAAGGTGTGGGCAGGCCCTATGGTGGGTCAAGACGCAATTTTGGAGATGGACTTCATGGTACCAGCCGGTATCCGGTTAGATTTGGCCGACGGAACTCTTTGTCTCCCCGATGACATTCGAGTAGAATTGACCGGGCGAAGGACGCTTTACAATACCCGAGTATCGGACGTGAAGCTGGGTCGGTATGTTGTACGGAAGTGCCTCTCAAAAGGTCGACCTCAGAACAGTGGAAATTGTGGGTCACGAGAGGTGAACGATGGGTGACCACCTTGATCGAAGGGATAGGGCGTCGACAGATTTTGAAGATAACCAACGTCAGCCCTCGCCCCTTAACATTACACGAAGATACCAAGGTAGGTATGTGGTTGACCGGGGATCAAGTTCCGAGAACGCC